TATATATATATATATATATACGGAAAAAATGTTTCAAATATTAAACATTGCTATCAAAAATATATTTCTCAAAAATGTTATAACTTGTAAAGGATTTCATATATCATCAAATCCACCTACTCGAAAATTAAAAATTCTGAAACATACCTCTCGAGAGGTGCTTAAAACATCTCTTGGGAAATCTAAAAATTTAATTATCTGGATTCAACGTCTATCCTATAAATTCAAGACCCTTTAAAGATTTTAAATTCTTATAGAATCGCATAGAACGTAGGGTCATTAATAAATAAGACAATATACTAAGTTATTTGTAACGAAAATTAATAGTTATTGGCTATTATATTATAATTTTATGAAATATTTATTCAATTAAATATTTAAGATTTTCAAATTTTGATTAAATTGTTAGAAATTTATAACCTACTATTATTATGATTTTTTTTTAATTGTTCCACCTTAGATTAAAGTTACCTTATCTTTCAAAAAGTCTACAATAAACTGTCTATTCTCTCTCACTTCATATTTATCTAGGGTGCACTTCCTATCTATCATATGCACGCAAGTTTTGGTCGACACCAAAGCATTACCCATAATTTTACATAAGGAGTGAAGTCGCTTTTTTATGATTGTTTACATTTACAACAGGTGGAAGAGAGCTATTTCTGACCTTTGCTGGTGAGACTGAAGCTACGAAGTCTATAACTATCCTCATCCTCGCCTTCCTCCCGTGGTGGCATCTGAGACGAGACGTCAGGCACATCCAGGAAGGCGTTGCTCTTCCTCTGATGCGAATAGTGCATGCTTTGTCCCCTTCGGCTCCCTCGTCTTCTGATCCCCGGACTGACGTCATTCTCGGTCAGTTTGGGTTCGCTGCTACAGTGAGCTGACTTCATACTAGCTCCCTCATGATGATGGTGATGATGATGAGCGGCCGCTGAAAGCGACAAGATTATAGATATTAATACACTACTCAATATCGGATATAAATATACAGACTTCGTCAAAAATATATAATATAGTTAACGGATTCCAATAACGGTACCTATCACATTCACATTAACACATATATTGCAATGTATACGAGTACATGAATATTTTTGTATAATCATTGTATATTATTGTATAATATTATTGTAAAATATCAAATATCAATATTAATGAAAAAAATGTTAAATAGTTATTATTATATATGACAAATAAAATATAATTACTTGTAAAGAACGTTTACAAATAAAAAATAAAAAGTTACTATATCGCTTAATAAAAATAAAAAGCACAAAAAGAATTTAATAATTTTACTATTTTAAAGCTGCTCTCTGTTTCTGAATTTGATTTGTGCATGCATTTTATACATAAACGTGAAAGACCTACTCGTATCAAGAGCTTTTGTCTATAAAAAGTTTAATTTGTAACAAAAATATATTTTTCAATATTTTTAATATTTTATAATTTAATGTCACAACAATAGATTGTATAATAGGAAAAATATGAATATATTTCAATGAATTATAAAATTATTTTTAAAATAAATCATTAGTAATGTGAACAAGGCAGAATAAAAACTTCTTTTTCGACCGCATGTCGACCCAGCTTTTTATCAGCAAAGCGCTTGAGAATAAAGCAAAGAACAGAGCATTTTTCAAAGGCACTACACCTATTACATTGCAAAGTCGACGCGTGAAAAGTCAAGTGATTTAATACAACCTAGAGAGCCAGGAAATGAAATTAAACGACGCGAGAAGGAAAAGAAAGGTGAACTCAGAATCGTTTACGAATATTTACTCCACTTAATCGCTAAGTTTATTCAGCAGACAAATTTTCCCGTTTTATCAATTTCAAGAAAATAGGATCTCTCACGTTCCAATGTTATTGCGATTAAAGCTTTCAAAGAAAGAAGCTTTGAAACAGAAGCTGAGTCTTCCGCGTCTGTAATATTAAAACAACGAAGTCAAGCCATTTAATCCAATATTAAATTCTATAATATCTAAAATTACTTAATTTAACAACTAATTTTATAATATCTTATTTATAGTAAATAAATAATAGTTTATGTTAATAATTTATGTAGTACGATTTAATTAAATTGATATACTATATTTCTAGTAATTTTAACATCTTCGGTAATTTTAAATAATTTCAAATATATATTTTCAAGTATTATGCAAATAATTTTTTGTTATAATATCAAATTAAAAATGCTAATTATTAAAAAAAATATTTAAATAACAATGACTTGTTAAGCAAGTAAATAATTTGCTTATTTCTACCGCTCGGCGCTCTCTTGACACATTATACTGAAATTCTAGCTCTTTGTTCCTTAATTAAGATTTAACAGTCTTGTTTGTATTACATCTACGTACAAGCAACACGAATTATCACTCTAATTCCTGTTTCCTATTAATACACATTTCCGTGTTTCAACGTGCATACGAAACGACGAAAACGCCAACGTATTTAGCGATGAAACTGGTTTCTAGACTTGCAAAGATATACGTAATACTGTACGGTGAGACGTGTTTGGGCTGTCAGTGACCTACTAGCCAAATCCACGTCCGAGAATAGCGACCGCCAATGATTTCAAGAACTCTCGTCAGACTCTAGAACGTGTGTTACACCAGTGCAATATCGATACACTTTGCTTTTTCATCAGGAAGGATCGTACGTCATCAATGACGTTTCTACAAGTTCATCGGATACTGCATTCGGTCACCGTACCACGTAATCTTGTTGCACAGCCTTTGGGGAACAGAACCGATACTAATCTTCAACTACTTTAAATATGAGTACAGAAATTAACGAGTTTATTCATATCATGTTACAACCCTTTAAATTCTCAAATCTTTGGATTCTTCTGGGAATTAAATACATGTCTCAATGAGGTTAGCCTGGCGCAATGAATAAATTACTTATTCATTCCCCATTCCTACCATTATTATCATTACCTTGAGCAGCGGCTCGGCGTCGGATGCTTTTATTTCCGCCGGAAACACGGGCGCTCTGGGATCTTGTAGCCGGTCTCCGTCTTCTCGTAGGTGTACTGCCATCCGGCGTTCCGCTTCCACTGTCTCTTTCTCCTCTTTCTCTCTCACGAGCTCCCGAGGGTGGCATTGCTTCCAACATCTGTTCCATGCTGGAAAATCCTGGAGCACAAATCGAAGCCGATCTGGTTTTTCGGCGAAAAGAGTCTTCTGCCATTCTTTCAAGTCACCACAGCCACTACTATCCCTCCCTTCCCTAAACCTGATCACTACTCGGATTTTTCGTTTTATATTGATTATCTTTTACGATTTTCTCAGTAATTGCGTCCTTCTTCGTGTATTAATACCGAATCTTGCTATGACTTTGTAAAATTATATTTTATTTACAATCAAACACAAATTATGTTGATTCGTATTACTCGATTATATCAGGCACTGTTTTTATCGTAAGTTTTCCACACTTAAACACAAACAGTTGTAAAAGTTTTTGCACTATTTCTTTCCAACTTGAAGTTCTTCGCAGGAAATTTTTCGCTGCGTCTGATTTCCGGAATGTCTTTTCAAATGTCGTAAACCTTCCATTCGTGGAATTCAATTACCGGAAAAGATATCAATTTCAGAAAAATGTCGACAGGATATCCAGATAAAGATGTCATGAATCTAACGTTATAACGACCGATTTTGCTTCATTCTAGAACCCTTACGTTCTTCTTGACTCTACAAATAAAATATGATATTTCCTTTTAGCTTCGTGCATGCGAATGATATGGTCGGAATAATTACGGCCGTGGCAAATTGCGCCTCTCCTAAACTCTCGGTAAAATAACTGATATCTATATTTTCTTTTTTGTGCTGTATCTCCCTCGTCGTTATTCTGCCGGATGTGAGCTCGCAAGCTAATTAGATCCACCCCGTCGATTATTGCCTCAATTATTCCATACACACTCGCGAATTAAAGCTCTGGAAGCGCGTATAAATACAAAATATCATACAATTTTTTAATTGTGAGTATTTATTTCTTAAAGTACAGAACGTAAAATATTTTAAATAATATAATTTTTTAAATTATATTAAAAGTTTTAGGAGGCTCACTTTTATTATGCATTAAAAAACATTATTCCGAAATATTTATAATTTAGTTTATACTATAATTATAAATTTATTAAAATTAAGTTTATAAAAATTAATATTTATTTAAATCTGAATTCAATAAATACTTCATAAATAGAAATATGTTTCTAAAAATTTCGTCATCTAAGAACAATTTCAGTTAATCAAGTTTTATAAAAATGAAGTTTATAAAAATTTCATTTTTAGTAATTCAGAAATTAAGTATGTCTAAAATTCAAATAATTACAATTTTATTTTTTCTATACAATTAATTTTAATAAAAAACAAATTTATATTAATTAAATAGACTTAATTAAAAATTAAATTCCACCGGAATAACTGATCTACACAATCATTTAAACTTACAATTAATGAATCCTTGGATCCAAACTTAACATACGAGTATGTTAAGTTTGTATAAATACACTAAGAGCAATTAAATACAAATAGAAATTAAAGATATCTAATTTAAAAAAAAAAGAATAAAATTCTGCGTATTAAAAAAACTTATGAAAACTATAAAAATTAAAAAAAAACAAAAAATTAAAAATATTAAAAAAATATTAATTAGGATATATTGTACTTAATATTTTCTCCCTAATATAAACTCGCGTTTTAAAGCTAACTTGGTCGATATCTAATTTAAACAAATCCAATTACAAAGTTTAAACAATCAAAAACGTGTCTTGCCTATTTCTAATTAAATAGGATAAAGATCAATATCGAGAACGTAGTTGGCAGCATCCGAAGTTTCAGACTCGACGTAGTTGAAAGACAATTCTGTTGACTGTCGAAGCTGTCGAAGTTAGTGAAGAGTGAACAGTGATATATCGGGAAGATATCGGTGCGTGAAGACGTTCTGGCAACTATAATCGAGTATCGACAAAGGTAAGCTCAGTCCAACTCAGTACAACTTTGCGTCACCTTATCAATATTCTCTCACGAAAATCTCCCTCTTCGATCAAATTTATGCCTGTCGCGTATTTTACTTTGAGATTCATTTTACTTAAGGCTATATAAAATAATGCTGAGAAAATTAAGTATTTGGCTTTAAAAAAATTCTTTTTTCAATATTCATACAAGTATATAATTTTATATATAATAATACATACATATTACTTCAATTTTGTTTTTTTTAAGTATAAATTATTAAAGTATGTTTTCACTTTTCATCTGATTTTCTCTTAATCAAAATATTTATCCTTAATATTTAAGTAAGTAATCATTTTTTATAAAAACTAATAACAGATAAAGAAATAAATTAATATATATTATAAAAATATTGTATCATTATTTTGCTCCAATTTGTCAAAAACTACCCTTTTTGCACATTATATTACAATAGAAAGAAAATGAATCCACATAAAGGATTATTTTACGTCTGCTATTATCACAATACAAGTATCGCGAGTTCCCGTTTATAAAAGGGGCATAAAATAACAATGACAAGGAAATATCTTCAACGAATGCGATGTTGCAACGGACTTTATTTAAAGCACTTCTGTCATAAGGTGTCTCCTTTGTGAAATAATATATCATGCGAGGACGCGTTTACCATAGATAGACTATAGGATTAAGTAGAGAAACTGAAGCTTTCCTCTGGCAAGAGTAAGAAAAGGTCTTACGAGCTTCTCATCGACATTATGCGTTAAAATCGATAACCTGCATAAGAGCTTTATGTATTCACTCAATATAACTTCATACATAACTTCACATTATGATACCAAAATTGCGAGTTATCGCGCATAAAAATTATATACTATCTTCGTAAAATTTCGATACTCCTTCTTCATGTCTCATTATTATTATTATACTATTGTGTGTGTGTATTATTGTTATAATGAAAGAAGTTTTAAAATTTATGACATAAATATACTAAAAAGGTATAATAAGTCATGTTCATTATACTAGTTTATCTATTATGTATAAATAGTTTAAATAGTCGTGGCTTTCCTGTTTTTTACACATGCAACTATGTAATTACTTTTACTTTATTTAATCATATTTCTTTTGTACACAACATGAGGTATTAATTAAATCTCTATCAAATTTTTTAATAAACCTTTGTTCAACTCTACAATTTCTTCAATTATTGGACATTCAGATTTAATCTAAATACAGGAATTGGAATGTGTGAATATTGTACACATAAATAATATTTTTTAACATTTAAAATATATGGAATGTGACCTGGTTTTTCTATCGACATTTCCGTGATGAGTTCAAATCGCTTATTTACATATACAATACACTTATACGCGTATAAAATATTTTTTTGCTTAAGTATCTCTATACTTTCTTTCCTAAATTTCTCTGAGTAATAAATATAATGTCTTATTTTTAAATTAAAAAGACAGAGAGATAAAATTTAAAACATAAACTTGAATAGAATATGATACACTTATTTAAATAACACTTTGGAAACTATATGTACTTACATATTTAAAATAGATAATATTATTTTCCTTAATAATTACTGAAACAAGATACGAAGTTAAATTTGCTTGCGTTAAATTAAATATGATATAAAATCTTTTTATATTCTTTTATCGCATTAATTACCGTAATGACAATTTAATTTAATGAGTTTTCTAATATTAGTTTTTTTTAACATTCTAAATAAATATTCAAAATATTTTTAAGTTTCCTGCAATAATAATACAATCTCAATTCACAATTCTTGTATCAAATATCTAAATACATAATACTTTATTATAGCAAAAGCTATGTGACGTTAATTATTTATCCGTTAATATGCACTAACAGTACACTTTTTTATTTAATTATTTAGTGTTACTTAATTCACCACGGAAGGGAATTGAGAGCAAAACAAAGAAAAAAATCGGGAGCCCTTCGAGAATTTCAAAGTCAGAGCATCGGATTTTTCTCCCGTGCGATAATTACTTCGCTCTCCTGATAGACTTATTTTTTCCGACGACTAATTATAGATAATGTTTCGCATAAATCTTCTATAGAAAAGCATAAACATCTCCGCCGATCTGTCCCCCCATATGTTCATCTCCGTATCTCACTACTTCAAGAGCTTGCCTCGTTCGTAATTATCGCTCTTTTTCGATAACCTCTGCCCTTTAACCGTAATTATATCGATAGATTATATATTCGCACGCCTTTCCATCTCAAGATATCGTCTCGAGACATTACCGATGCCTACTCTTATCTCCCCCAAATTCGCGGATCTCTTCAGATCGAAATGTCGCGCGCGAAATCGATCCTTACCACTTTAGGCCGTCTACGACTGTGAGATATCTCCTTATCATTTTCTACTTCATCCTTTTCCGCGATTATTAAGGATTCGAATCACATGTCTCGACTGCTCGCACACGAGCGTAACACGACCGACACGATGCACGTCCGACGATGCGCGGCACACTGACGGCAACCCGGCGTCGTGGCGGCTCCCATGGCGAGAACCGACGCTAGGCGTCGGCGTCGGCTCTCTTGGACGCCCTCGTCGCCGACCACAATGAAGACCACGACGAGGACTACGACGAAAAGGTGAGTAAAGTTGGTGCGTGTCCAATTATCTGGCTTTTCAGCGATTCGCCGAATGCGTAAGATATTTTCCGAGGAATCACCAGAAACATACAGAATTTGCACTCACAAAGAAACACTTGTATGCGTTAATTATTTAAATTCAATTAAAAGAGACGAATGCAATATCACGCGTGTAAGAAATTAACAAAAGGAAATAAATGCTTTTACAAAGGGGAAATATTTGATTGCCAGCTGCCTAAGAAAGTTTCACGCTTTAACTCCTTACAAATGACATGCGCTATAACTCAATAAAAACTTCATCTTCATTAGATCGGCAGCACTAACTTTGCGTGACTTACAATTTCTCAGCAAGAAAAGTCATTATTCTGTTCCAACATAAAATTTCTTTGCTGTTAAAGCTTTAGAAAATAAATCTAGAATAACATCTGCTAACTATCGACTTAAAAGTAAATTGCTAAAATTTCTTTTCGAGTTTGAATAATTTAGAATATATTTGTGTAATTTAATATAAATGTGCAGAGTAAATTTCTAAAGAAAATAAAAGTTTTAATGTAAATTCTTATTAACATTGATATCAATAAATATACGATATATCAAAAATTCAAATAATTTATTATATTTAATCTTTATATTACAATTTTCACAAATTAAATAAAGTTCTCAATTAGTAGTTAACTACAACTTGTAATCAAACCATGCATAAATAAAAAAAAAG